GTAATGCATTTTTTTAAAATGTGGTTTCCTTTTAAATATTTTGTAACAAAAAATTGGTTATTTTTTAAAACTTGTGTTTGACGAATTCAACAATTATTAACTACGAACACCTTAATATCGAAACAAAAATACTACTCCATCAAATTTTTTAAATCAACTTAGAAAATAGCTATTGTTTAACAATATATTTTTTATGTAGAAATAGTAGTTTAGGTATGGTTTTGATACAATTTCTTGCATAGTAAACTTTATTTTCAATTCATTATAAAAATATCAAACACACTTTTAAAGTATGAGAAAGATAACCTTCTTTGACGAAACGTATGATATTTGTGTTTCGTGCAAAAAAAGAAAAAAAACGGTAGTCGTCACTCTTGTGGATTTTTTTTTCTTTTTAAAGTTTTATGCTTATTCTAAACAATAACAGCCTTTTACCTTTTCAATGAATTTTTTTATCACGCCATCTTACACAACTGTTTACTTTTATAATTCTTAAAAACAATATAAACACAACTTTATACTGTCTTGCGTTTTTTTTAATTATTGTATATTTCCCTGAAGAAAAGTATAGTCAAACTATAAGATAAGGCAGAGGACATTGTCCCTTCGCCTTTGAGACCAGACAGATCAAAAATCACAATTTTTTCTACAATTAAAGTTAATTACATTTTTTAAATAACGAATTCGATACAAATATGTTACTAATGGTTTGTGACAAAATTTCTCATTGAATGCGGTTGATTAATCAGATCAAAATTGGTTTAATTTTTAATTAAAAAAATTTTTTTCTCTGATTCAATTTCATTCTTAAAAATAAGTTTCGCGCTGCAAAAAGGAAAAATTTCAAACTGCCATATTTCAGATTTCTCAAAATCAAATTTTATTTTTAAAGTAACTTAAATGAAGCCGAGACTATCAATTCATCTGTACATACATCACAACTAACTATAAGTCTTTGAGCAATTCTTCGAATGAGATTAGAATTATTGCAGGTAAATGTTTTTGTTCAAGACAAATTTTCTTCTTATAAAAGTGACACGCGTTCTCTGATAATTGATTTCAAATTTTCAATGTCTTGCTGAAAAATAAAATACTGATTCGTAATTGTTTCATGTTGTGCTTTTAATACTAGGAAAACTTTTATATATCATGTTATATACAGCACACTAAAAATTAGGAAGTTGTAAACAGTTTCGATTAATAATTTCATTTTAACACTCTAGAACGACATTCTTTAATTGCGTTTTTCTTGTACTTCATTATACTTATGTAGTTTACGAAAAAGGCATTTTTTGGGGGTTTCTTTTCAAGTGATAACGTTAATGTTCTTCTGAACAATAGGAATTGCCTTCGCATAATGTGTTTTTGCAATTCCTTTTTCTATGCTTTGAAAGCATGGAACACTTTTTTACTTTATAACCTTGATTACAAATATTGTATTGTGCTATTTTTTTCATTGCGAACTAGCTTTTGGGTAATGCTGTTACCGAGACCTTACTGACCGGTCATTCATACCGCACCTTTTCATTTACTGCTATGGTTCACCAACTCTTTAGGAGATAGAGCTTTCCAATGACCATTCTTTGGTGTTATAAGCTCCACAACGGTTATTCTCTGATGTTACCTGTGCATTATGACGTGGATTATCAGAATTAGTTTTCCTTGTTATTTGTTTTCATTTAAACATCTCATCTAAAGATCCCTTTGAAATGATCGGCTTAACTTAACTAGTTGGTGATCTGGATTGCATTGTCTTGAAAGATTTAGTCCTATTGAGGGTGTTGTTCATCCAGATAGTTGGGACAACGGTTTGTAACTAACGGTTTCAAAAGAATTTTTTGAAATGCAAGAATTAAATTTTAAAATGATGCTTGTAAGTTCAAACAAAAGTTGAACTTAAAAACTGGGTTTTGAAATGATGCGTATGGAAATTACGATATGACATGGGGGGGCAAGCGAGACATAGTATACCTAAGTACCAAATGGTCACTCATTAACAATGTGTATGTTTTCAGTGATGGATATTTTCTCATAAAAATCATCCGGCTGTGACATTAGTGAAATTTTGATTATTTTCAGCTGCACAAAGTAGATTATAGCTTTTTAGATTTTTTTTTTTAAATATTTTTTTACATATGTAATTTTGAGGAATAATCACGGAGATGCTAACTTGCTCCGGACAGCGGATAAATATTTTCGAGTGGTAGTTTTTTAATGTACGATTCTTGGTTTAGTAAATTTGATTTATAGGGTTTTAACTCACCACTGCTTCTAAATACACTGGTTATCATAAATTAAGGAAAATTCACAAAAATCGCGATAACTCAAGAAATTACACATGGAATTTTATGAAACTTACCCACAATATACAACACATAGTAAGGTATTAAACAACATAAAAAGAAATTATCAGACATTAATAGTAGTATAGAAATTAGCACATGTATAAAATAAACAAATTGGAAGTATCGGTTTGCAATAGAAAAAGTACCTTTAATATGGAATATGATTGCCTCTAGAAGCAATACAGCACAAACAGCGATGTGTGATGCTTTCAATTATGCGGTCTATCAGTTCAATAGGAAGTGAGAGCCATTGCTCTTGTAAAGCAGTTGCAAGCGTGGCAAGGGTCTGAGGGGGCGGATTGATGGCAGATACACGCCTCCCTAGAGCATCCCAAACGTGCTCGATAGGATTCAAGTCCGGGGATCGAGCTGGCCACTCCATGCGAGTAATTGTTTCCTGTTGAAGATAATCATCAACAATGCGAGCTCTGTGTGGTCTTGCATTATCGTCCTGTAACAGGAAGCAATCACCAATTGCCCCGGCATATGGGCGCACATAAGCATCAAGGATGTTGTCTCGATAAACCTGAGCATTCACGGTTCCCCTTGGAAAGACATGGAGGTATGTGCGCCCTCCTAAGGATATGCCTCCCCAAACACAGACACTGCCTCTTCCGTATGCATCTCTTTCACGGATGTTTGATGGATGATAACGGGTCCCAGGTTCTCTCCATATCAAATAACGTCTACTGTCACTTTCTAGACTAAACCTGGACTCATCCGTAAAGAGAACAGGCCTCCATTGATCTGACGTCCAGTGGACATGTTGTCGGGCCCACTGCAAACGGTCTCTCCTATGGCGTGATGTGAGCGGCACGCAAATGGCTGGTCGTCTCGCATACAGACCACCTTCGTGGAGCCTTCTGCGCACAGTTGACGTTGACACCAACCTTCCGGTGGCTGCAGCAAGAGAGGATCTAAGATGTGTCGGAGTAGCGGTTCTATTCCTGCGTGCACTTAATGTCAAATATCGGTCATCGGCACTGGTCGTAACAGTTGGCCGTCCTTGACTGAACCTCCTAGATGCCGAATCTGTGGTTTGAAATTGCCTCCAAAGTCTATGAACCACAGATGGACTCACATTTAGCCATCTGGCCACTTCTGATTGACTCTGCCCTGCCTCTAGTCTCCCGATGGCTCTCCATCGTAGTTCTTCAGGCAAATGATGCCTAGAGGTCATTATTACGAATTGGCTATCTCAGATTTTCAATGTCGCAATCACAGTAAAATTTGTGTGCTTTCTCTCAAACTTGGACTTTTATGCTCCAGGCAGATGACGTAAGCCGAGTGCAGCGCCACTAATTTGCATATTGCAATTTTACTCAGCTACTCTTAGTGGACAACATATGCAAATTTTGCACGGTTTGGCTTACTTTTGAAAGAGTTATCGCTATTTTTGTGATTTTTCCTTAATTTATGATAACCAGTGTAATCAAAACGCTTATATGATACGCTATTTTGTTGCTATTAAGCCTTGTTGAGCGTTTTTAAAAGTCAAGAAAGGTAACCAAAGTTGACAGCAGATTCAAAAGAGCCGAATTTTCTAATTAGCTTAAGACACATATATTTCAATAAATATTTAATTGTAGTATTTCCATTATGCCGCGCTGCTTTGTTTGCCATAAATTAAGAGAGTATAAATTGTATATTTTTAATTCATAGTCTAAAAGTTGAATTATTAGTTACCCTGATTTAATTAGTTATCTAAAGGTAAAATAAGTAAAATTTAGACTTTAAATTTTCACCTGTAACGTCTTCATTTAATTTCTTGAAAAAAAAAACTTGTTGCTTCTGATTGCTACTGAGTGACCCGTCTCTATAATTTTTCCAAAGAAAATATAATTTAATGTTTCTGATACAGGGGCTTATACACACCTGGAAAAATTAAAAAGTGATAATAATAATAATTTTTTTTATATTATTATTTGTATCTACCAGAATATTTATTTTCTCTAAATATATATAGATCCGAAATCGGCAGATTTAAAATTTTATTTCGATAATGGAAGCTAATATTAAAAAATGTTTAGTTTCTTTATTACAAAATTGATACCAATTATTAATACACATATAATACAATATATGTACAAACCCTGTTGTAACAAATATAATTTTTCAGCCATGTGAGTAAGCCACGCATATAATTAGATGAAACCGTATTTTTCACTAGCTTGTTTTTCATTGCTAATCTTAAGAGAGAATTTTTGTATTGCGTCTATGTTACAGTCATCAATCCCAAAATATTTTGTAGTATTTTGTATTGTTTTAAATTGTCTGTTTACAGTTATAAATGCTGAAATATTTGGAAACATTGTCTGTTATATGAACAAAACATCGTGTTCAAAACACATTTGTTTTTCTTCAGAAACAAGAATTCTTTCTTTTAATACATTATTTTGCCTTGATTCTGCATTCAAAGAATATCTTTCTAAACACGTTTAGTTTCTTATTAAATTTTCAGAAATTTTAAATTATTCAGAAATTTTAAATTCAATTCAGAAATTTTGAATAATTAATTTCGAAATTTTGTATTGCTAAATTGCAGTTTTAAAAAAACTTTATGAATAGCTTTCTTAATTATGAATCTAGTACTTGTACTATAATAAGCAAAATCCGGCTTGCAATTTTTCTTATGTCGAATTATTCTCTTCACAGGAAAATCTGGAAACTATCTCTACCGAAGACTTTTGAAACTACTGGTATGTATATTTAAAAACATTTTTTATTTTTAAATATTCCCAATAGCTTTCAAGATTTTGATAATTACAAATGACCCAGGTAATGTGATATTTTTATTTTATTATTTCAGTTTGGATATGAGTGACATTATGTATACTTATAAATATAAGTTAATTATCTGGTATGTAGGTTTATTAGGTTGTTAAAAAGTGACAACTATTTAGATGGAAAGTAACATTTCGAATATAAAATGTAAGATCGCTTTTTTCATTTTTGAACAAGGAATTTTCACATATTAATATTTTGCTCCATTTTTCTCATTATCAGTACAGAGAAGAACACATTAGAGACGGATAAAACAGTTATGAATAACTATTACAAACTCATAAGTTATATTAATAGCATATTATTCTAGGAAAAGATGCGAATTATATGCTTTCTTATAAATGCTGTGAGTTCTTAACAATACCTAACGAATGAGTCATCGAAAAGCTGTCGTAACAGCTTATTTCTCAGGTTGTATAAATAAAAGTTTTTGTAAGAATACCATATAAGCAAAACATTTGAACCTAAACGTGAGCACGTTTCACAGGCGATATTTTCCGAATTATTGAGGGCATTGAGATGTAAGCAAATGTTCACTTTCAGCCGTAATTATAAGTTACGACTGTACCCTATTATTTGGGTATAGTCGTTGCTTTCGGAAAAATGTTGTTCATCTGACTGATGAATTATTGTTCAAGATTCATTTAGTCCTGCATCTGTAACCTGTTCTTGATAACTAAACATTAATCTAATAGGCTACCGACTATTGAGATTTCTAGATGTTACCGTAAAACATCTTCCAAGATTGCGAATGTTAAATATTGTTTATTGTTTAGTAAACCTTTATTACGTGATTTTGAGACAATTGAAGTGAAAAAATAGACGTGTTTTTAATTCTGAGGCGAATGATTAATATCAGCGTAATACTGATTTTGATTTAATCCGTGGTAAATAACTGGTTAATAAGTTTTTATAATTGTATAAACTTTTTACGAAACGTTAAATGGCACCCTTTTTAGCTTCGAAAACTTCACATCACTGAAAAAGAATTCATTATTTTTGTTCAAAAAGTGCAATTTATCCTCTGGCAAATTTAATATGAATTTTTTATTGCCTAGTTGAATAAAAGGCTAGCAAATATTTTTTATTGTTTCTTGGAGGCTATGCTTAACTGAAAATATTAATAAAAAAAGATTGCTTAGGGAGAAAATAGCTATATACTGTTATTTAAAAATATAGCTTGTTACATTATGGCTTTAATCTGTATATTTTGAATTAATTGGAAAGTTTCTGCCTTAACTTTGACAATAAGATTTCTCACTTACCATACATAGCAAGTGAATGTTTTTATGCGTACGAAAATTCGATCATATGCCTAAATACTAGCGATCCAAAGCGAAACAATATATTTTCAGAAGAAAAATATATTTGCCTTATTGAAACAATAAGAGCTTACTCAACTAGTGTTATATTTTCAATTTTGAGGCCTACTTCCATGTTAACTTTATTAAAACAAGAGTTCTGCAATTTTTTCAAAACTTGTACCATTAGTGTTTAATTCTTTTGACAAAGAAAATGAAACAAGTCACACCCTTAAGGGCTTTACACTTGAAGCAAAACTATAGTTTTAAACTATATCTACTATCTTGCCTTAGGGCATTACCTGGGCTTTAAAACGAACAAAAAACTTAAATAAATTTATTAAACTTTCTTTAAAAATTGACGAAATCTTTTATCCTAGACAAAAAGTGTCGAAATTATTGAAAAATTCTCAATTTTAGTAGCAAACGCGAAGCTCTTTCTCCAAGGAAAATAATAATAATAAAAAAAGCCAGAGTTTAAGACTTGAGGCAAAGCTTTATTTTTGCACTACATCTTGCCGTCAAGAATTATCTGAGAACTGCGATTAAATAACTTAAATATTAAAAACAATATTCCATTTAAAAAAAAATCGCAAATTTGGCTCGATATTTCCACATAGATGTAAACTATCAATGTTTATGAGCCCAGATAATGGATAACTTTTAAAATAATAAACACAAATACTGAACTTTCTTCATATTAACTGAGCGCTGGTCATGAATTACTGGTTTAAAATCATGAACTATGCTAGCGTCAATTCGCGTGAGCCTTTGCAAAACAACCATTTCAAGAAGAATTTATGATCCCTTTGAATTAAGAAAGATTTTTAAGGTCTATACGCATTTTATTATCCCATGAAATTCTAAAAAGAAAATTAAACATTTTTTTGAGGAACAACTTTTTTTTAATTGCTATTATGAAAAAATGAACTTTAAACTGTTTCCTCTTTTGCATATACGCAAGATAATTCAATGTTTTTCTATTTTTATAATTTCTTTTTATAATTCTATTATTACATTTCATATTAATATAAAATAAAATTGCTCAATTGAATATCCATCTTATTCAGTAATTAAAGGTTAAAAAATCTCTTTGTTTCAATATTCAATTTCAGTTCTTTTTCTTCAACTAATTCTCATACCTCGCTATTTGCACTGTTCTATTGTTAGGACAATGTTATGTTTTAATGTCTATTAAATTCAGGTACAACATGAAAACCAAATATATAATTAATTTTCATAATTTATCCGAGACACCTGGATTGAAATCTTTTGTCTTCTAATAATCGTTTTTTCTCTTTTTATCTGTTTAACCCTGTCGATAGGATTTTCTAAAAGTTTAATGGCAGAGGGTTCATCTTTTGTAGAACATGTTCTTCCGTTTAGTTCACGCTTAAGCGCTCACCAGCTGATCCATAAAGATCAGTCTGATACTTTTGTGCTGAAGAACACTTGTTTTATTTGCAATTTGCTTTTTTTGTTTTGATATATTGGTGTGATGGTTCACTTGGTAATATAATGTGTGTGATTTTTTCTGCTTTTCTTTTTGCAATTTTTTTATTGCAGGTAAGCATTTCTTTGGTTAAAAAATGATTATTTTGCCGATGCATTGAGTGTTGTTACTTAACACGTTGAATGCCAAGTTAATTTTACATGGCTTGCCCGTCTGGCCAAAATGATTTTTTCAGTATCTTTTGCATCGATTTCTTCAAACCATTTTAGTAACGATAATATTAAAAAAATTAAAAGCATTAAAAATTTACTCGAATTATGTGTTTCTAATAATCTTGGCTTCACCGGTCACGGGTGACCTCCGTGGCACTACGAACAAACTCAGTGACGGTCATCAGTGACCCCCATGGCATTCAACGTGTAAAACGAAAGCTTATTCTAGTATAGACTTATGCAGACATTTTTTTTATCTTCATACTATAGTACTACCTTTATGTTTCTTTGTGAACTACGTGCGATTGATGTGTTTATTTATTGAAGTTTGTACCGAAGTAAAAGTGATAAAAAGTTTAATTCTAAAAAAATGTACAACTTTGTTGAGGCTTAGTATCTATGTTAAACCACAACCTATAGATTAGTATTTAGTATAATTGTCACGTTTTATGAAGTTAAAAAAAGATGAAAACTAGATTGCTCGTGTTTCTAGGGTTCATAAAATATGTAACCGTTACATTATTTATACTTTACTGTGTACATAAACTAAGCAATTCAAAAGTGTTACAAAACACTTTTCGATGCTTATTTTTCTTTTAATACACACTATATTTATAATCACTATATGTTAAAAATATTAAGTTAAAATGTCCGTTTTTAGAAACTTTTCACTAAATTCTCTCACTTAAAATCTTTCTCTGAAACTTTCCAAGCTTGAAAAGATTATTATTACGTTAATTTGAAAAATAATTTAGAAAAATAAAAATGTGCTAAAATTTCTCGAATGTTTATTTTTTTTTTCCCCGCAAATGAAAGTTATAAGTTAATTTTTTTTTTTAAATTAATGAGATTTCGCGGATAAATATCTTATTTAACTATGAAACCTGAATATATTTGCTAAATTTTTAAATTTTGCAGATCTCAATAAATGAAAGTACTTAGTGCCAATCTTAAATATTCTCAGAGTAGGTACCTAGTGCATTTGGCAGCAGACAATAGATGGTAACATTAAAGAGCCTATCTCTTAACTTTATATTAAAACTCCAATAATACGAGCGCTATGACACAAATAGTTGAAATGAATATTACGGATTTATAGATATCACAATTTGGAAGCTTTCGGATAAGAATTAAAAGCAAGGCAATAATCTTTAATTCTCTTTGTCAATGTATAAACTTAAATCTAGTTTGTCGTTTAGAAGCCACTCAACTAATTAAATATTGTAGATTGTAATACTCTTATTTTGTTTTTTGTGAAATCCGTAAAACTAATAAGAGATCATACTTTTTTTGATGTTTATCTTTTTCCTTTACTGGGGAAATCACCTTGAATTACCTTTGTAAAGGTGGTGCAATGAACCGAAAGAACAGTTATAAGAATGGTAAGCATTGTGCAAACTCCTTATCTTATTAGGCGGCGCACGTATCTAAACGCCTTGCTTTTATCCCACAACGTTGTTCTTTTATGTCCCATGATAATTATCATCAACCTTTCTCTTTTTATTTTTAGAGATTGTCTCTTCACATCTCATTGTATGGTCATTAAAGAATGACACATATAAAGGTTTTTATCTTAAATACTGCGGTGGTTTATGGATTTCCTTGGTGATGATTTTGATGTCATATTTCGGGTGACATAGTTTCTTTTCACAGAAACGAGTTGCATTGAAATACAATGAGGTTTATTTTGACTTAATTTTGGAGTTCTGAAAATCAGAGTAATTGAACCATTGTTGCTCGCCGTAGGCGCTTTAAAAATAAGTCTTATTTGTTTGTTTAGAAAAGCTGTTGAGCATTATTTCTCTGGAAAAAAATTAACTCAATTAGAAATTTCAGAATTGGAAAATTGGTTCGTGGGTATGGCAATCACGATGAATTTGTAATAAGACATTGCACTTAAGTCAATGTATTAATTCTCTTACAAAAACCTATTTAAGTTGTAAATTTAG